TCCCCCTCCTCTCCTAATCAGCTAAATATACTCTTTTTACTGCTTTCCTTCTTTACGCTCTACTTCTTACTGGCTACAATAGCTTTTTTTGACATGTTGCCAAGGTCTGGACTCAAGATTACTGCTCACTAGGCCTCTGACTAATAGCTGAATTATTTGCCTACAGCATACAATGAGATCTTTACAAATTATTGCTCCATATTTGCCAAAGGGATGCATCCCTCAAGAATATTACTAACACTCACTACATTTCACTGCCATGTCTAATGTCTGTTGTTATAATCTCTCAACCTCATGCCTATTGTATGCAGCTTTCTGCTATTTTACCTTGTATTGGGTCATCTTGTGTTTGAATGCCAGACTACATTTCCTTTACTGTACTGTAATCCTTGTAAAAGTTTGTAATCAAAAACATGAGTTGATTACCTGATAACTCTGTTTCCAGGAATCTTCCAGGACAGCCCATGAGAGAAGGCTCTGGCTGCCTGCAACAGGAAACACATCAACCACATTAAATAAAAAGACTCCTCCTTCCATTCCTATTCAGTACCCTCTAGGACCGAAGGCTACCAAATGTACTAAAGTATCCCCCCTGTCATCCAACCACGGATGTCCCCTGGATACCAACCAAGGGCGGGAATCTGCTGTCCTGGAAGATTCCTGGAAACAGAGTTATCAGGTAATCAACTCATGTTTTGCCCAGTCATCTTCCAGGACAGCCCATGAGAGGATCAGTGAGGACAAATCTTACCTCTTAGGGTGGGACCACAGCTTGCAGGACCTTCCTGCCAAATGCCTGGTCTTGTTGAGTCATAAGGTCCAGCCTGTAGTGCCTGACGAATGTCTGGAAACTGGACCAGGTGGCTGCTCTGCAGATCTGGTCTGGAGTAGCCCCTGCCCGCTCTGCCCATAAAGTAGCCCATGCTCTAGTTGAGTGTGCTGTGAGCGGACCCGGTAATACCAAGTCCTGAGCTTAGTAATTCTCAGTGATAGCCATCTTAATCCACCTAGCTATTGTGCTTTTTGTGGCCCTGTTCCCTCTAGTGGGACCCCCAAATACTACAAAGAGGCGGGTCGACCGTCTCCAAGGTTTCGTGACCCTAAAACACATATTTATCTACTAAGATGGTGCAGTACGGATCCGCAATAGAGAAA